AGCTGCGTGTAGCAAAAGGCAGCAACAAGTGATAAACTGGAAATTAATACAAACTGCAGCTGCAACTTAGGGATATTTATAATTCTGTTTATTAACTGATGGCTTTTTTTCATTTTAATAATAAATACTGTAAGGTATTAGTTAAGTTTTTGTACGTTGTTTAGCCCATAAATCACGGATGTGTTTGCCGTAACAAAGGTAAAAAACAAACAAACCAGAAAATACATACAGGTACATATATTTTATGTAAGATACAATACATTTTTTTCAATACAAGTTTGTGTGTTCATCCAATACGTGAATTTTCACTGGATCCCTTGGAAAAAAAAGCAGATGTTAAATGAATGAATTTGATCCGTAAGACATAACAAGATATGGTAGATATCATTTCCTGTTTATTTTAAAGTTTTCATGTAAATAAGATAAGATAGACTCAAATCAAATCAAACATTGCTTATACGCATCAAGAGGTTTAAAATGAATCCATTTTAGTAGAGATGTACGATATTAACTTTTTGCTGATATGCCAATATTGTCCAAACTATTTTTTGATATCAACAGATATAGGTAATATTTATTTATTTATCTGTATAAACCACTATATAAGTATGAGATTAATTAAATGAGCTGCAATGCTGCCATCTAGTGACTTTGACTTTAACATACAGCCGTTTATCTCCAAAACTATTTTTAAGGCACACATCATTTGTCGAAATCCAGGCATTGCGTTATGGGGCGGCTGAAATTTTAGCATTTGAATGTAAAGAAAGTGGACACAACAGCTGTTTTCTCTGTAAGGATGCTCAAATCAACTGATGACTCCAGTCCTTTGTCAGTTTTCATAAATTATTTCTTTTGTTTCTGTGTTTTATGGTCACCTTTATCATAGACTCGTGTGGGATGATTGTACACAAGCCTGCAGGTAATTCTGCCCTGGTCATCACCTCTTCAAGGTCTTGTCCTTTCACCTGGTTAAGAGAAATCTGTGCTGAATTCTGAGTCGCTTTCTAAAAGCTTGTTGGAATTTTTCTATTTTTAGCAGCTTTTTATACTCAGTGCACTTAATTAGACTGCTGGTAAACAATGCTGTGGTGAGCGGCCAGCTCCAAGCCTGACTCAATCATAAATCAGATCGTTTTTTTTTTTTTTACTGAAGGAAAAAAAGGAATAGCTTCATCTGCTGGCAGCAGCGCAGCACAGTCCATGGGGGATACAGGGTTTTTTTTTTCTCCCAAAGAAACACTTGTGTTTTATATTTGCGCCTTGCCACACATTCTTCTGTGTTCATGGGGGAGGAAGAGGATGAACACTGACTTTAAAAGCCTTTCTGTCTTGTCATGTTAAGCATTCCTAACAGATAGAGTAGAACCACGGACTCATCCAGTTACAATTCACCACTTATCACTTATTACTTTTCTTATTGACTTGAATTCTCTGGGTGTGCTCTCGTGTCTGCGTGTCCGTTTCTGTCCTTTGCAAGAGTGTGTTTTTGTTTTTGTCCTTTTTGTTGTTTGTGTACGTGTGGTTAGTTCCTTTATTTTGCATGCAAATAGTTTATTAATTAACAAGTACAATGGCATTGTCCAATTACTAAAAATAAAAAACAGTCATTCAAAACCATTTATCATCCTGAATGTGACCTATAATCTGTATATTTCAATTGAAAACATGAATGTAATTAGAATAATGTATGGTTTAATTCCATTACAATGACCTTCCACGCCACATGGTGGAAGAAGTGGTTAGTGCACTTGCCTAACAGATAGAAGATCTTTTTATGTGAAATTTGCATGTTCAGAGTCCACAGACTAGATTAGGATTAGATTAACTGGACACTCTTAATCGACCATATGTTTTTGTCCTCCTTTGCCAGGTGACCACTGACAATGACTATAGACCCCATCATCTTGAAGGGAGAGAAAAAAAGGTAAGTAAAAAATAAAAGATAATGCACCTTTTGAAATAGAAGAAAAATGCAAATTTTCTACCAGTTTTTTCTTATGTCTTTTTTTTCTTACTTGTGGAGAATCTTTCCTTGTCTTCATCTTCATGGCAGAGACCACAAGGTTTAGTTTTCAAACAAAAGGCTGTAAGTTAGCGTGTGATATCAACAAATATTTCACATCAGTGACTAGGTTAATAGGGTGTCCGTATTGTTTATCTTTCCCCTAAAATGAAGGTTTTGTAATTGAAATGTAGACTACACCATTGATAAATATGGATAAAGCTCTAAAGTGTTGTCCCTTTAGGATTGGCTTGTTGAAAAGTGTGTAAATTGTACATGTAGAGGAATCCAAACGTCATCTAATGTGTTAAAGTGTTAAAATAAAACCGGGGGTCAAAGCGGCACACGGCTCACCTTTAGCTTGGCTGTTTATGTTGTCAAAATATATTTATATCTGGAATGAGCCATTGAGAAAGATGGGTTTGATTTCCCCGCTGTGGCCCCGAGCTTGGCCTTCCTGTGGGTGCAGAGTCAACCTCAGTCAGATGCATTGATTGGAGCCAGATCCTTTGTCCTAAATTCCGTCTTGGACCCTTGAACCTCACAAAATCTCTGAACTAAGTCCTTGAGCTGTTGGTGTAAAAATCCCACATCACACAAATCCAACTCTTCTGTGTTATTGTGAATGTTTAGAAGTCTGGTGTGACAATTGACAGGAAACGCAGGTGAGGCAAGGTTGAGGGTGAAATTCCACATGTTGCTTTAACGTACCATTGACTGTTGGTGTGAAGTGGACTGCGGCCGTTAATTCCTCACTTTCTAGACCCACTTTTGGTTTGTTTTTTTCATTTTTATGAGGTGGAGGAGGACATCTGTTTGCATTGTTGACCCTTACGGGAATCCACCGGGGAGCTTTTAATCTTCCCTCCAGATCTATAACGCTAAAAATGCAGGGATGTTCTATTTTTGTCTACTCTTGTGCCAGATGCTTCCCTGAATCACTAATACGGCTCTATCATCCCCCTGGGCTCCATGAATTGTCATATGTGATACTGTGACGGAAGGTAAATGTTCTCCAGGCGTTTTATTCCACTGTCCCAGGAGAAGCCCCCTACTCCATAAACCTCTAGAAGCCCCGGGCTCTGAAGAAGAACCATATTTGCTATACATGCTCGACATTCCTGCAACATTCTGAGCCTGTATATTTTTTTAATTCTTCAGAAGCCTTTAGACACATAGGCATCTTAGATGCAGTGACACCCGAGGGAGCAGTGAGAGCCCTCAACCCTAACTCTCCTTATTTTTTTCCCCCTCCGAACACACACACACACACACACCCCCTGCGATGGATTCCAGATCAAGAATTTAATGCATTTCTGTTTCGCATCACCTCCCAGGAATGCGGTACGCGTGCCACAAGCCTCATAACCCCAGGCTGATGAGTGTGAGGATGTTTAAACGACAGAGAGGATGATGGGATACAGACGCTGCTGGGGGTTATGGAGGCTGAGGGGGGAGCTGGAATAGAAGGCAGGCGAGGGGGTTTGAAAGAGCGCATCCGGCGCAGCACTTGGCGGTAATGACAGGCCATCGTGTTGCATAAAGCCGTGTTAGTGCAGCTGTGGTATGTGCTGAGCGCATCTGGAGCACAGATTTTTGGGAACGTATTTAGTGTGTGTTTGTTTGGTCTGTCCCGTCTCACTCAAATTAACGACTGTTGCACGATACGAAGGGAGGATGGAGTGAATTAACTTAGTTGGGGATCTTTGGGAGGGGGGGGGACTGGAGAGTGCGGGGCTGCTCTAAAAGTGGAGATTTTACAGCCGGTCTGTTTTGCATAACGCCCTGATACGGTTTGTCTTTTGTCACTTACACGTATTCGATTTTGTCGGCAGGAGATGCGTATTGTCAGGTTGTTTCATAGTAGGGACATTCCTGAACACCGCTCACTTTTCCAGTTCAACCTGTACACCGCACCTTTGTCCCTGGAACATTTTTGAATGGCAGCTTTATTTGTTTCCTGTGATTTACAGTTCTACGAGGCTGTAGTTACCGTATCCTGAGAATAAAAAAAAAAAAAACGGTCTAACATTTTTTGCTGTAATCCGGAATTTGTAGGGCTGGGACAATAAGACCAACAGTATGAGGTAATCTTATAAAACGTATCGATTTTGCAGCTATGCGTGTCAGAATAGTGAAACAAACAGTTTCGGATCATTTAAAATGTACGATTAAAATTAACTAAAATTAAATAGATTTCAAAACGTTAAACATAAACAAAAGTTTGCTTCAACTCTTCAACTACTACAGTATATAAGCAGCAAATTTTAATTTAAATGTCAAACAATTATTTTTATATGTTGGTGATTTATGAAGTAGCGGTCAGAGTCTTGGGCCAAATAAAATATAATGTTAACTAAATTCCATAACTTGGATAATAACTTGTCATAAACTCCCTGACAAATATCGAAGTTGGTCAAATAACCAGAAATGTGTTTTAAACAGCTGAAACGTACTCTTAAATGTGTCGTTTTATATAATTGTGATTAACAACAACAACAACAACTGACCACAGTCATTGTGATTAACAACAACAACAACAACAACTGACCACAGTTATTAGTTTCACAGATGTCCTACTCCGTGTGTCTAGTTCTGGTCAAAACAGTGTTTGTTCGTGAGATTGTGGCACCATCTATTGGTCTATTTACCTAATTACATTTCATTCTGTGTCCACTTCATATGTACAGCAACAACCGCCGTTTAAGGGGGAGTAACCGGAAAATATTTTGGACACTATGTTATTGTTTTAGATTGTTGAAATTACAATAATTAGCATTAGCCTATAACGAAAATCTTTATCAGCAAACCCATTGATTTTAATAATATTGCCATCTTAAGTAATGCCCTCTTTAAGGTACTTTTAGAACTGATAAATCATGCAATCGGTCGTTAGATACTTAGATATATAAGTCCAGGACATGGACTCCTGCACTATAATGCAGTTTAAAGCTACAAAACCTTCAAATTGAGCAAATGACCCAGTGTGGCACAGTTTAGGTGACAAGACTGTGTTTATTATATAGATCAGCCTTCTGCTTTTTTTCTTTTTACATATGTATAAAAACATCTAATTGGAATCAGTGTTTACTCAGAAATATCAAATCCACTGTTAAAGTAAAAACACCACATACAAATTTAGCAGTTAGAATCCAGTGTTATACTTCATATCTAAATACATGTTGTATGAACTGATTATAAAGAGAAGATACTGCCCTTAATACGAAGAATACTCTACACATTAACACGTATTTTTAATCTCGTTATTTTTTTCAGGATATAAGAAACAACATCCTCCTTAATAATAGTCTTCACATTAGACATGTTATCAGTGAAAATACCTTTTCAAACTGTACATAAAGACAGACGTGGTTGAAACAAACATGAACCTCCAACCAGCCTAATCCTACATCTCTGTTAGTCAGGTCTGTCTGTGGTCAAACGTAGTGCTTTTGGGTATAGTGGAAGAAAATATTACAAGCACTTCTTTCTATTGTAACTGTAATTCAGGTGCCATTAAAAAAAACAAAACAAAAAAAATGATTTGAAGGTCATCTGTTTGGCAGTATAGTTAATACTATTGTAATTCATGATGACCGACATTCAACTAGCTGATATTAAATGCTAAATGGATGTGGTTTAAAATATGTAATGCCTCATCTGCATGTGATTTCCTGCATTATCCTAAATCTAACTTATTAGACACTTTCTTACAGAATATTCCGGCAGCTGTTTTCCTGGGAAGAACTACTGACGTCTACTGGGCCTGGTTCACCTGGTTCTTCATATCCTGCCACTTCTTCTCTCTCAGACTGAGCTCTGCATCAGAAAAGGCAGCTGGGCCCCAGTTGGTGATCAGTGCCTGTCCTTTGGAACCTGGTGATGTAAATAAACACTTCACCCACCACACAGATATATATATATATATATATACACACAGTATATATATAGTACATATATTCAGAGTTTAGAGGTCGACACATTCATATGCCTGTCTTAACTCTTTACAAACTGTGGTTTGAAATAATAGTGTTCAAGCAGACAGTGGTTAACAGTGTTACCTGGTTGAATAAGCCGGAGCATGCCCTCATGTGCTGCCACCTTGTGCTTCCATGACCTCGTGTTGTTGGTTGCATCTTCAAGCTTTTTCATCACTGTCTGCCTCAGGCACACAAAAGCACAGTTTAGACACAAATTCCAATTGAATTAAAACTACAACAATTTGTAGTAATTTTTTTCTTCACATTTATTTGTCAATATTTTTCAGTAACTGGATTCATTACTGTTACGTAAAATATTCCAACAATATTACAACAATCTACTGCTTGAGCAGAGTTTATGTTTTGCAAAAACAATATTGTAGTACACTGACCTGGTACTGTTCCAACGTCCCTTGTCGCTCTTGCTCCAACTGTTCCAGCTGTTTCATTGCTGCTTGTAATGCGCTCTCTTTAGCAAGACGCTCCTTCTCCAGCTCCTGTTTCTCGGCTTCTGTCTCGGTGATGGCCTGCTGCTGCCGCAGGTGGATCTGCTCCAGCTCTGACCTCTTCATAGCCTCTTCCTCCAGTAACCTGCTCCGCACACATTTACAATGATGAGAGCAACACGTCAGTAATGGTAAACCTCGTTTTTATTGATTACATTTTTTAACTTGATGTGGAGAACAAATATTAAATAACAACATGTATTTTTTAAACACAAACGTCGAGAACGTTTGGATATTTTTAATTCTAAAGTGATTCACTATAGTCAGCAGGTGGTGCTAAAGAGCTTTTAAAACATGGCTCAAGTCTAACTAAGTTCACATACATTTTAAATTATTAGCGTTAATCAATTGTTTTTAAATAAAGTTGTTTAGGTTTTGATCCTTTTTTCTTTTATAGATTACAATCTTTAGAGAAAAATTCATAATATATTCTATGTGTGTGTATATATATATATTTTTATATATATATATATAGTATATATATATATATAGTATATATATATATACATATATATAATATTCTATCTAATTAAATTCATCCAAAGGCCTCAGTCTGGTCTTTTTAAACACAGTGTTCTTCTGTTGACGGAGTGATTGGTACAATGGTTTACAAACTGTTTATCCAACACGAGGTGGAAATAAAATGTCAGCAAAGAGGAAGGAAGGATGATGGGGGAGTAAATAGTAGAAAGAAGGAAGTCCACATCAAACGTATGGCTGCACTACTAGAAAAAACTGTAAAGCAGTTTTGAGGTGATCTCCAGTTTATTAAGCTGCACATTTATATTGATATTTAACAATGATTGCCAGTATTACCAGACTATTATATAATATAAAAATATATAATACTATATAAAATTTGTGCGTGAGGAAAACCTTCTTTCTTGTTAACTGACCTCGCCTGAAGTTTACGAACTGTCTCCTCATCCTGTCTGGCACGTCTCTCATCCTCCAGTGCGTCCTCTAGCTGACGATACATGTCCTCTAGCTCACGGACCCTCTGCAGGTACTGCTCCAGCTCTGTTGACTTCTGAGCTACTTGCTTTTCCATCTGCTGCCGTACCTGAAGACACACGAGATAGGATACCTCATCTAAATTCACAGAAACTCTAATGATAAGCCTTGATTTACAGGAAAGACTTTACATTTCTCTGAAGACTGTAGAAGTCCAGTTGCTTTTTGACTTTCAAATCATTATACTTAGGCCTAAATACTATAAGACGAAGATATTTACTACACCCAGATCATAGTCAAAGGGATGGAATGAATGACTCTGATGAACATGTTTGAGGTTCGTCTTGATTTTTGTTACAACCCAAAATGGAGGAGAGGTGACTGACAGCATACCATTTTCTCTCTCTCAAGGTCCATCCTGTAGCGATCCTGAAGTTCAGTTTGGGTCTGAAGTCTTCGCCGTTCCTCCTCTGCAGCATCGGATGCTGCCTCTTCTAAAGCCTGGTCAACAAATGGATATCAGGACACAAAAGCCTGGTTAAGTATCAGCAAACACTTCTTTCATTCTTTTTTTAATGAAGACAAAAACTCTTTAAGTAACTTTACATTCACTTGTCACCCAACTGTGAAATGCCTCTAACTTGTAGTAACTTACTAAGTAGAGGTAAGAAGGGTTGTATGTTTGTGTGTTGGGGGGAGGGAGGTATCTGTTGTTTTCCTGTCTGTGTGAGAGGTCAGTGATTTCCAGTGACCCTGAGCCTCTCTCTCTCTCTCTCTCGCTGCCTTCATGTCTGTATCTCCATTGTCCATTCATACAGCCAGCCTTTGAGACTTTGCACCTCAATGGGAGATTATTGTGAAATGGGAGCTTGTGTAGAATCTCTCACAGACCTACTGTTGTCTTCTACCGCACTGTGTACTACACATCCACGAGGTACTGACACTGTAGTTTTAATGTTTCTGAACTTAAGATAAGATAAGTTTAAACCACAAGTTGCATTACTGCAGTGCTTCTCAATTATTTTCTGTCATGCCCCCCCCCTTAGGGACAGAGGTGTGTGGCTCACCCGACCCACACACCTGCAAATTGAAATACTATTGAGAACCTGATAACATGTATATTTTTACTGTACAAACCACTGTATGAGTTACTGCCACCTAGTGACTGGAAGCTTAGTTATCATTCAAGCATTACAGCACCTCCCCCCCCCACACACACTATTTGAGAAGTACTGCATTAATGCAACATGGATTTTGCTTAACTGAGGGGTGAGGCATCTGTCGATCACACAATATCTACTTTTCATTCCAAAAGAAAATGGGTTTTAAAATATACTTTAGTTTGATTTTAATGCTGATAACTTTATGCTATGACACAAGCATTTGTTTCCCACAGTGGTATTTCTAACCACATCATTTATCTTTATGCTGCATTTACAACAAACTAACTTAGCTGAATGTGTTACAGTAAGGAGTTTTGACTTGCTAAAACTCCCACTTCCCATCAGGTCTCATGTGGTGTGGACAGGAAAGTGACCATTTCAGGAGTGATGTGCGTGTTTTCTAGTTACACAAACCAGTTTGTTTGCAGATGGGAAGAGTGAGTCAGGTTTTGGGAGATGATCTCGAAATACATGTTGAGTTGAAACTAGCCCCTTATTCCCCCTCCCCTGTTTAATCAAGCCAATACACTCCCCTCTTGTTAGCATAAAATGACCATTCATCAGCAGGGGAGAGCTCATCTATTGTTGGTATTCATGGGCTGCTCCTAGTTTCACAGAAGAACCACCAGTGTTGGAGTGACCTACTTGTAGAAAGTGTAATTAGATGAGAAACCACCTTGTTGTATAAAATCATGATTTTCATTGGTTTTTTTTTTACAACAACCATTAAGATGTAACTGCCTGTGTGCTACTTTTAGCCTTTTAAGCGTCTTTAAGGAATGCTGTTCAGCCACCTGCTGTAGT